TGGTTTCTTCTGTTTCCTCTTTTGCTTTTTCACATTCTCTATTTTTGTTGTCTTGGAATTTCTTGAGTGTCTCCTGTACATTTTGCTTGACCATATCCAGTATCATCTCTATAAAATTCTCATTGAGTACCTGTAGTATTTCTTCTTTTAGATTATTCTTGTGGGCTACATAGGGTTCTTTGGCATAGTTTATCTTCATTTTGTTGGAGTCTGGATCTGAGTATCTGTTTTCTTCATTTGCCTCTGGTTCCTGTACTAATTTTTTGCTGTGGTTTCCCTGTTTTTTTCTGTCTTCCCGTCATTGCCCTTGGTGTTGTTATTGTCCCTGTACTGTGTGCAATTAAGTATTTTGTAGGTTGTAATAATAACACTGGTGATATTTAGAATGGAAGGGTGAGAGGAGATGGAAAGCAAAGAAGTTAAAGAAAAAGGGGAAAACAAATAAACAAGTAGAAAAAACAAAACAAAGAAACAAACAAAAAAGTTTCAAAGATATAAACAGGGAGAGATAGCATACTAATCAACAGTAAGCTGAACAGGCATTAGAGAGACAGAGAGAGGATTGAAAACTAAAAACTAAAAACTAATAAATGAATAATAAAAAAAATAATAAAAAAGAAACATCTCCAAGTTCAAATGCAATAAAGTTTCAGTCTTAATAATTTTGGTGTTCGTCCCTCAGCCTCCAATCCTGGAGATGGTGTCTCAGAAGTAGTTCTGTCATTGTCTCTTCAAAGGGGAAAAAAATCAAACCAAACCAAAACAAACAAAACAACACAACACAAAACAAAACAAAACACCAAAAAGTGTCCCAAGTTCAAATGCAATACAGTTTCAGTAAGTTTTTCAGCATGCAGGTGTAATTTGGTTGTTGTTTCATCAAAGGTAGGGAGAAAGAAAGAGAGTCTGGAGACAGTTCTGTGAATGGCTATCTGGGGCTGCGGCTCGCCTGCCCGCTGCTGTCAGCCTGTTGTTGCTGGAAGCTTTATTAAGATCTCAGGAGTGAGCTTAACACTCACCTAGCCCCACAGGTTTTGTTTACTTAGAGTTCTCCTGTGCGTGACAGCCATTGCTACAGCTTTCGCCTTTCCAAGCACACTGGGGGAGGTGACACTGCACCAGCTTTCTCAGGCCTGCGTGTTTATTTCCAGTTCACATGGGAAGTGAGTCTTGCCCCCTCTCCTGTGGAGTTTTCCTCCCACTGCCACTTTTACAAGCTTTTCCGCTCCTGGTTGCTGGGCGTGTGCCACTGCTCCTGCCTTCTCCAGCCGGCTTGTGAGGGATTTTCCCTCCCCTGCTCTTTGGCACTCAAGGTGCCTGCCCTCTTTACTAAGTGTCTTTTTTGTTGTTATTGCTTATTATTCAGATTTTTCTTTTTTCCCTGGGTGGGGATTGGTCTGTCCAGGGAGCTATGCTGATCTGGCCCAGGGTTGTCTGTGGGAGTACTGTGTACCACTTAGCTCACCTTGTGGTCTGCGTCTTCCCAAGACATCTGGGCACTGGTGTCTGGTGGTGGCACGGGAGCCCTCCTGGTTTCTCCATTTAATGTGAAGTGGAGAAGCTCTGTGCAGACTGGAGGTGTGGAGTAGTCAATGTTTTGCCTCTTTTCAGTTGTTTTTCCTGTAAGGTGTATCTCCAATGTCTCTCCAAGATTTTACTTTAGGAGGCACGCTTTCTGCTTCCTCCCTCTAGCTGCCATCTTGGAATCCCAGAAAAGTAAGTTTGAATCAGATCATTTCTCTCATTTTTCAACTAGAGACAAAATCCTTTATGATCTGGCCTCTACCTTATTTTCTAATTCTATGTCATTGTATTTTCCATTCCACTAACTCACGGCCATGTTCTTCCCATGCCACATTAACTGATTCCTCTGTAATAGCTCACCCCTAGATCTTTGCATAGCTAGTTCCTTATTATCATCAGATCTCATCTTAAATGCCACCTCTTAGGAGAGGATTTTCTTAAATTGTTAGTACAAAGTAGACTAAAGGCTACTAGCAAATCATTTTATTTTAATTGTCATTCTGACTCTTATTTCTTACTCTTATTTTTGTATTATTTGCACATTTTGTCTCCATAAACTAGAATGCAGGTTCCATTGCACACAGTACCTCTCCCTTACTCTCCTTTCTTGTTCACTGCTACACCCTTACAACTAAAGCCACAGCCAACTCAGACACATAGTAGGCATATAACTATTTGGTAAAGGCAGTGTATTTTATTTCTATTCTGTGGTCTTACATTAGCACTATGGAGAGGTCAATCAGAATTTTATTGTCTTCTTGAGTATTGGCAATCCTTCTGATTTCAATTTCACATATAGTCTTAATAAGGAGTTCCCATTTTCTTCATCTTGGACACTAATTAGCTATTGACTTAAGGAGGAGACTGTGGATCCTTTGGGGATATCATTTAATATAGTTAATTCTAAATATTTTTAAATTTCTAGTCATCACAAGTGGCAGGTCATCCAGACCAAAATTTCTGACAACCAAGAGATTAAGATTTCTATTGTGGTTTTCAGAATTTCTTTAGGGAATTTTCATTAGTTTTGTTCTTTCTTATTAACTGTCTTACCCTGAGATAGTCATGTTAAAAATTACTTTTCTCAGAAAACCATCCCTGCAATACAATCTTGGTCTTCCAAATGGTCCACTGACAGTAGCATAGGATTCATTCCTCATTCTGACTCTGGAGCTTGTCCACTTGCCTGTGCTTCTTTGTATCATCTTGGTACTTCAATTGTACAGACTATCTTTCCTTCCAGATGCCATTATTTCCTCTGCCCTGTGAGTTTGCTTCTCCCATAGGATTCATTTCATACAGGAAGCCCTGGGTCTTCAACAATTTCTTTCTCCATCTGGTCTGAGCTTTGCCTTGGATTTTCTATTTTGATACTAGAAGGTTGTGATGGGCCCTCATAATCTGCTCTGTGGTGTTTTCTTCTCCTTTTTTGAAGTAGAGATGTCTGTCTTAAGCCTTGCTAATAAGGATTGTAGGATGAGGGCTCTTCCTCACATGGAACACAGGCAGAAATCACTGAAGTTTTCTCTGCTGATGCTAATAGCTGACCTTTGTCATAAGGAAATTGTGAATGAGATGAGGCCTTGAACTCAACACAATAACCAATCTGTCCAAAGTCACTGAAACAAATAAATTTGACAAACAAATAAACTCAAAACTCTAAACTTTCTTACCTCCTGAACTTACTAGACAGAGTTAATTAGTGACTATGGTATACTCTGAAACACTAATGATTATTTTAGGCACCAATGAGGAACAAGGCAAGAAAGGTTAAGTCCATTCCCAATCATGTTTTTTTTTTTTCACTTTTGAAATGAGAAACCCATTTCTATGAAAAGCAATCCAGATACTCCCAACTTTCTCTACGCCAACTTAAATAAGGCTAAAATGACAAAGTTCTTAAAATTCATGATGGATGTTGACAATTTAGTTACTCAACTCATAAAAACTTTTATGATAGTCTGTTTTTCATCTGTGGACATGGATATATCATAAATACAAAAGCCGTTGTCTGACACACTGGTTAGTCTAGCTTGGTGAAGAGTTTGACTTTATAAGTGTTGTTTTTAATCTATATAATTGGAAAGAGAGGAGAAGATAGAGTGGAAAACAGATAAAGAGACAGAGAGTCAAAGAAGGGAGGAGAGAATGGACTAGGTGGGTTAGAAATCAAAAGGAAAAGAAACTCCTGTACCTAATGTATGGATGCCAATATAAATCAAAATTGAAAAAGTGATTAGATTGATTAAAAGAGGGCCCTTCATCATTCTTTTTTCATTTATTTATTTATTTAACATTTATATAATATCAACTGTATGCCACTGGTTCTGTTGAGTATTAGGAATATAAAAATGAATGGTATGGTCCTTGACCTCAAAAACTCACAGTTAGCAAGAGTCACAACATATTTTCTGAAAACATGTATAACACAAAGGAATGAGCGATGTAATAAAGATACACATGTGGTATTATGGGGTCAGTCGATGAATAAGATGACATACATGCTTGTTGACTCCAACAGCTTCCAATACTAAATTGAGACACTCAAGATTGATTAAGAAGTCATCACACAGTACACAGATAGGAGAGGGCCTGTGTGTTGCAGGAACACATGGGAAGGATTCCAAATCTTAAGTTGTAGACTTAGAGAAGAATTAGGAATCAGATAAGATGGATCACAAGAGATGAAGTTTAAAGCTGTCTTGGGAAAGAGGGTACCTCAAAATCTTCCCAGAGGAGTCAGTCTTTGGGCAGTGTCCTCTGCTTAAATCAACAGCCAGAGAGGTACGTGATGCTATCAAGAAAGGGAAGGAAGCAAGTGCCCAGAGTTGTGTCAGTCTCCTCTACTAGTAGCACTCTTTAAAGAGATGCAGGTTCTGCAGTCACAAGGATCAGACCTTTCTCTTACCATTGGACAGAAGATGGAACAGAGTTGCTCAGCACATCTCAGTCAATAGTCATCTCTCAAATCCCCTAAAGGTAGCATTGGGCAGGGGAAATAATCCCAATATCCATTCTGAAAAATAGGAAATTTCTTTTTTTCTTTTTTTTTTTTTAAGTTTGGTCTGAAAGAAACACACTGCTTTCCACAGGGCACACCCTACACTACTCAACTTAACTGTGTCAGAAACTCCAAGGGCTGAATTGATTGTGCTGTAAATTGAACCTTAGGTTTCATTCTGAGTACTTGAAACGTGACACTGCAGCCACTAAGCCCTCCTACTTGGGTTGCTTTTTTCAATTCTAATGTGTTGAAGTATTTTTGCAGTTCTAGTGCTATCTCCGCCTGGGCTGGGAAATGCAGTTTTGATCAAATCTCATAATAATATGGGGAGATGTTGAAGATTAATACTTATTGATAATCCAAACAGTCAGAGAGCAAGTTACAGAGGAAAATTTAATAACCTGAAAAATGGTTGCCAAAGACTGTCACTTTATTTTCAGCTGTCTCTTCCCTGTATTTGTTTCCATCCCAGCGTGAGTTTTGATGAGGGCCACTCCTGGGACAAGTATAGCTTCACTTTGCTTCCTCTCTTCGTGGACGGGGCTCTGGTAGAGGCAGGAGTGGAGACGCACATCATGACGTGAGTACAACTTTTGCCATGGTAGAAAGGAGACCAGAGACTTTGGTTCTCCTTCCTCTGGGACCTCAGATTTTTCCTGGGGAATCCTATATCAAAGCGTTTTCATATCTGGGCCAAAGTTTCCTTGCCTAGAAAATGGAAATATTTAAGTTTGCACCACTGACTCAAAGAGCTACTGACAAGATTATAGAGGCTAGGCTCTTAATTGAACAGTTAAGGTTTTAATGGAATTTAAAATAGGAGAACACATTCCCACTTATCCCAAACCCAAGCAAACAGAAAGTTAAGTCATTAGAAGTGTTTTCTGTCTTTCCAAAAATCTAGCAAGATGCAAGAGGCAGGGACAGAAGGAGAAGAACAGGCAACACACTGAAATCAGAGATTGCTTCAAGAGAGACTTCCAGAGTCTGTCTCCCATGTGCACACACACACAGACACGTACACACACACACACACACAGAATTGTTGCTATTCTACCTCATATTGATTTGCTGTGAAAATTTTTCCACATTTCTTTCAAGGAAAATAGATAGCTGGTATATAGATCTTAAAGCTATAATAAACCCTGAAATACTTTGTGAATATTAAATAATAATAGTAATAATAATAATAATAATGAAGATTTGCTACTGCTTTCTAAAAGTATATTAAATTTTAATTTTTAAAAATTTGATAACCTATATTTATGCTTGCATGAGTGTTTACGGGGGTGGTATGATGGTGTTAATCCTCCATCAACCTTCACTATCTCCACCTGTCCCAGTTGACTGGAACACCTTACACTTTAACTCATTGCTGGACAGAATAAAGGGAGACTATTGGGAAAAATCAAGGGATATTTTCTTCCTTGTGGAATTGGCACACCTGTGTTTTCCATTTTATAACAAATTACCATGGTGGTATATGACTGTAGTCTCAGCCACTCATGAGACAGAGATTGGGAGGATCATGCTTTGAGGCTAGCCCAGACAAAAAGTCAGTGAGATCCCCATCTCAACAAACAAGCCAGGCATCATGATTCTGACCTGTAATTTTAACTGCAAGAGAGGCATAGTTGGGAGGATTGTGGTTCAAGGCTGACCCATGGCAAAAAGTGCAAGACCCTATCTGAAAAATAACTAAAAGCAAGAAAGGGTTGGGGGTTTGGCTCAAGTGATAGAACATTTGTCATCAAACACAATACCATCCTTTCAAACCACAGTATAACCAAACAAATAAAAAAATACGTGAAATAATTGGCTTACAGAGAAGAAAGATGTATTTTGGTTCACATCTCCAGAGATTTCAGTTCATGGTTGACTAGATCTATCACTTTGGGTCTGTGGTGAGTCAGTACACCATGGCAGTAGTATATGTCAAAAAAGCTGCTCACCACATGGAAGCCAGGAAGCAAAGAGAGGAAGAAGAAAGGCTGGGGGTATGCCACAATACTCTCCGAATGCACCTCTCAGTGATGTGCACATCCTTCCACTAGGCTCACCCTCTTTAAGATTCCACTACCTCCAATAGCACAAGCTGAGCACGAAGACGTCAACACCTAAGGTTTTGGGGGATATTCCAGATCCAAACTGTAGCAGCACAGAATAGTTCAGATCATGTGTCTGCTGGTTTGGGAGACGTTGTGTGGTGTGGTCTTCTTTCTATAAGGGACACTGCTCTTCAAGCTTCTGTGATTATGAATTTCTTTGTAGTTAGAAACAGTCTTGTCCAAATACTGATAGATTTTTGAAGAGGGACCCAATTTGGGAGCAAATAGCTTGTTCTCATGTTCTGCCTTTTTTCAGAGTGATCAGTTGTGAAAAATCTTCTGTAACTGCTGCTGCTATGCAGTTTTGATAAAATTTCATAGTCTGGACCAGGCTATTGCACTTTGCCACGATCCATGCCTCTAAGTCCATTTTCACATCCAGAAGGTTAACTGAGCACTCCTCTGCACCTTCTGGGTGACAAAAAGAATCCAGATGGGATGAAAAATGGAATAGTGTGGGAACTAGGAAAAACGAATGAAATAGACTGCAGTCTGATCCCAGGATGGGGTCACCCAGACCTAAGGTAGGAGTCTATGCAACTGTATGGCTATGAAATACATATCTAGTAACTCATCTTGCTGGACCTCCATGACTTCATTTGTAAAACCATATCTCCTCTTTATGTTTCTTATGAAAATACTGAAATTCTGAAAATATTTCCCTCTTTAGGAAATCTAGCTGAAGCACTGCAAGGAAGGCCCCATTCCTACAGGATTTATATAGAGTTATGCATTGGATACAAAGTGTCCCCCAAAAAGGCTCACATTTCAATTGCCTGGTCCCCAACTGATGGCACTATTTTGGGAGGTTCTAAAAATTTTAGGAGGCAGGACCTAACTGGAGAAAGTAGGTCACTGCAGGGCAGGTCCTTCAGTGTGTCCTGTTCTTGGCCCTTCCTATCTCTCTCTGTCTGCTTCCTGTCCAGCAGGCGGTGAAGAACCTCTTTCCCCATGTACTTCTGCCACCATGGTGTCTGCCCAAATGAATGGAGTCAAGCAAGCACAAACTGACCCTCTGAACCCGTGAGCCAAAATAAGTCTTTTCTCCTTTAAGTTATTTTTTCAGGTATTTCAGTCGCAACTATGTAAAAGTACCTAACACGTGTAGGACCATAAGAAAGTTTACAGATTCCCAGTGTTCTTGCTATTGGAAAATGTTCCCTATAGAAATTTTTGGAGACTCCAGAGAACATCTTTAAAGACAGTTAAGAAAAGTGCTCTAAAGAGTGATTTAAAACTCTCTTCTTTAATTCTTTCTGAATTTTCCAATTGTTAGTGAAATCTTCCCTGAGCTGCAAGGATGATGAACTATGTCTTTGAAGGATTTGACATTCATATGTGAGCATCTGCTCTGTGTTACACACTGGCCTGGACCCAGCACTCTGTTCAGAAGTTGAAAGACAGATGTCAAAGCTGTTAAGGAACTGCTACATTCTACCCAAGTGGTATACCACATCAGTAACTAATATCTTTAGACTGAATTTGTGTCATTGTACAACTTTTCTGGGCACGTATCTTACGAAGTGTGACTGAAGATTTCCTCTAGAATTTATTGCTCAAGAAATAAGGCTGTGATTTGAATTTTTTTTCCAGAAACTTCATTCACTTTCTTAAATTATCTTGAATAAAATTACCTCACAATCTAAATTCCTGATTAAATTTACCATAATAAAATAGGCTGTATTTTTAAGCTGTCAGATAATTTTACTAGCTTAGGGTTAACAACAATGTAGGCAATCTTAGCTTTAATCCATGGGGTATTATTAATACGTATAGTCTTAAACTTTATCATTTGATTACTATATAACAACCATATTAGCATTGTTATATGTCCTATGTTCATAAGTAGTATCATAATATAAATTTTATTTTTGAGGTAGACATTACTTGGAAAATATGTAGATATTCATATATAGTGAATATATATATAATCAAGCCTGTATGTATAGATACATATCCACATATCCATATCAATGAATATATGTATACAAATATATATATATTTGTATATATACAAATATATATACATATGTATATATATACATATGTATATATATACATATGTATATATATACATATATATACACACATATATATACACACATATGTCTGGAGATAGATATATGGGAGAGGAGAGGAGAAAGAGGGAGGGAGGGATGGGGAGAGAGAGAGAGAGAGAGACTGAGAGAAATCCATAGAATCTAGGGTCTCAACAAAATCTTTATAAAGTTATACTATACCAGAAAAAAACTGGTAGTACCTACTAAATGCCAGATACTGTTCCAGATGACCAAATCAGAAAGAAACCCTTGTCCTATGGTACTATATTAAATAAATACAGTAAGCAAATAAGTCTTCCATGAAATCCAGAGTACTCTGCCAACAGATTCAGAATTGTCTCATGAATTCCAGAAAGTGAATGAAATACCAAGAACACCACCATGTTTTTTCTATGAGGATTTCTGGCCAACTGCTGACTTCTCTAAGCTTTTTCTCATTCTTTACTTACTAGACATAGAAGAAAAGCTTATACTTTTCTAGGACTTCTAACATGGCCACTAAAGAATTTAAGTGTTGAGTTCTAAATTCTGTAAGGCAAAGAGGTACACATATGCAGGAACTGGTGTAAACTACTCTCTGGATAGTCAAGCCAGGTGCCGTTGCTTATCCCATTCCAATCTGACAAGGCCCTAGAATCTTGGGCAGTGGTCTCAAAGTCAGCTATTTCAGTTTTTTATACCAAAGAGACTGTCTTGGCATGCTGTATTTCCCCCCTCATATTATAATATTATTTCTCCTGTGTAAGGCTTATTTGAACTTATTGCATGCTTCTATTGGGCTTTACTTTGAACAACACCAGTCTTCCCACAGCTTGATATTTCATAGAAAGTTTAAAGCCACAGTTGAAATTCTGTGTTCATCTAATCTTAAGTGTTAATATTTTTTTCTCAGCTTCATATGGAGTTTAGCTGGTCACATGGAGGAAGATTGACCTCAGGGCCAAACCACTTACTGAAGAGATGTGATAGCGTTCAGTTTTCCTTTTCTCTCCACTAGGACCCACAAGAGCTTGGCAGAGCTTCTGTACCTCTTCTGTATTGCTTATCAAAGTACTTTAAAGAATGGAGAGAAATTATTTTTATAGGGAATCTTAGGTAGAAATAGATATTTTTATGAAATTAAGATAGGTCTTGGAAGCATTCACAAAACAAATATAAATAATTTAGGATACTTGTTTTTAATTTTTTATTAAACCAGTTTCTCCTGTGTGAAAATAATAGTTTTTTGTGTGACTGTTCAGATAGCCAGAAGGATGCTAACCAAGTGTTTGTTTTTCCTTTGTAGAATGGCAGTGTGGCAAGGATTGTAGCAGGAGTTCAAATATGTATTTCCTTAGGAACTATGAGAACAAAGAGTCCATTTGGAAACAAGGATGCTTAGACCTGCCATTGAACTGAAAACTTATTAATGA